ACTTCTTCGACGCTGTTGATGGGAGGTTGCTGGTATGGATGTCACATAGCGATGGAGAAAGTTGTGGGAATCTGTTAGCAACGATCCTTTCCTTACCCACCCGCCCATCGATATGAACACCGGTCGCTAATCACGGCTGCAATAAGGCGAAGAGTCTTCTGGCATCTGATTATTCCAGAGACTTTGCACATGAGACCATCATGCCAGACCATATCATAAGCCGATGATAGATCGATTAAGCCACTCCTGTTTTCTGTTTCCGCTGGAATCCTGCCTCAATGAAGCTGGTGAGCGAAAGCAGTTGTTCGCAACAGCTGCGTCCAGATCGAAAGCCAGCTCATTCCACTGGGAGGGTGCTTCAATTACAGGAGAAAGCCGAGTCAACGAAGTTCGCTGCATCAGTTTCCTGACCGTGCACAGTAAAGAGGTTGGCCTGTAACTGCCTGGCCTCTCGACGTTTTCCTGGCTTTAGGAGGGCGACGACTTTGGCACGGAATTTTTTCGGTTGCATGGGTTGCTGTGAAAAGAGAGGCACTGTCGGCCCTTCGGAATCTAGTTCTTAAGAAATTCCGGGAAAATTTCATCCACACCAGCAGCCTTCTTGTTCTTCGTGGCCAACACTGCCACCTTTATTTCCTCGAGAGTGTATGGGGTAGATGGTGAAATTGTTTCAGGGCAGCTGTTAAGACCAAGAAAATACTCTTTCTGCACAATCTTGCGGACCTTAATCTGTCGGTGTTTTAGACGCATGGAGAAGTTTAGTAGCGATGGCGTCAGCGGAGACTTTCGTTACTTGGCGCTTTGAGGGTTCAGCTGCGCCAAAGTGGCGGAGCAGTGCCCATGCCTTGCGATTGGAATGTGTGAAATCCAGTATTTCCATAGTTTTTCACCATCGTTTTTGCCGCTCTGATTCAAGGATTCGACGACAGCAGCTGCAGTTTCAGGAGATACTCGGCGCTTGTACTCCATGTAAAATTCCTTTGTCTCTTTCGACCAGCAATGGGTGTAAGTCTTCCGGTATCCAGAGAGATGTTGCTTGTCACAGCAGAGATCAATATTCGACCAAAAATGCCAAATGCTTGGGCGTAGGCCAGACCAGTTGAATGCGGTCTTCGACTTCGGCAGTGTACGATGACCAGTTGGCTTTTCAAAAGTTCCAGCAATGTAGTGTCGCGTAATTAATTAGCCATATCTGCAGACCGATTCGGAGCACAACATGGCGGTGCTGGCTTTTGGAAAGAATCAAAGCACTTTCTTGGAAACAGGAAGCGGAATGCCGATGCTGTTTTCGGAGACGAAGCAAAGGTTCGGGCTATGGTCAGTAATCTGTCTTGCTGATCTGAAGGTACCTTGCTGTTTAGCATCGTGGCACAAATGTACACCTGCTGCTAATGCCCAGTCGATTAGTTATTCACCTGCCGAATTGTTCAACGTGTAATTCCATGAAGTCTTATGGCTGTTGAAGTCGCCCGCATAAACAGTTGAGTGAGGCATCGTTGGTAATAACGATGTTGGCTTATTAGTACCGGGACGCTTATATATGTTCATCATAGCGATTTCTCGGACGGTCACTGTAGTGCATTCGAGACCATTCAGTTTGTCGATGTGTTCGCCGATCCGATTTTCGCTGCTCTTTATTACCACTCTAATCTGGCATAAGTCGCTAGACCGTGTTTGGAGTCACAGATATTAGCGACCATACTGAACCCAGCAATTTTGTATCTGGTTGCTTTGCAATCACAATGCGTCTCTTGCAGAATGGCGATGTCAATCTTGTTTTCATTTAGTGTCTGTCATCAATATTCGCATTTTGCATAGGGAATGCCTTCGATGTTCAAGTGAAGTATGCTGAGCATGTGGCTCACGGCTTCGTTTCTTTTAACCTCATAAAGACTACTGGATTTCTTTACTCTTCTTCTATGGCCCTCATAAGGACCGTTTGGTTTATTTGTTTTTCCTCTGTGACCCACAATAGGGCCATTGGACTTATTTCGAACTGGTTTACATGTTTGATTCTGAGAAGAGCCGTTAGATTTGTTGCTAGTCGAGCCGAGAGATTGCTTTCGCAACGTTGGGCTGCCAGTGACGACATTCGTTGTATTGTTAAGCTTTGGCTATTTTCGCATCCGTAACAAGAACACCATGTGACGGTTGTCGTCTTGTCCCCAGAAGAGCATCCAGGGATCCTTTATTATTCAAGGATGCAAAACGTACTATTAGCCTTATTGTGAGATGAGAACTTTAATCAGCGGTGCAAAAATTTTCCGCGGACTTCCCAGATGATTTCCCATTGTGATCTGAGAAATATACTGCTAGTTATGGTAAAAAATTCGACAGAAAGCGCAATGCCTGCATCGAAGCAAAACACTTTGGAATGGTCAGAATGGTTCTACCATTCAATTTTCTGAAACCTGATTTTATTATTCGAAGAAATGGGTGCCGAATTCAAATTCCCTAATAAATGTTTTAATTTTAAGTTCCGTTGTGAACAACAGGTGCCGCATGTACATCTGTTCTGAAAGGGTAATAACAAAATGGGCGAGAGATATGACTACGCTATCGGAAGCAGCCGCAATTTATGGATGAAGTTCGCCTTTACCAAACTGATGGCTGCGTGTGTAGCGCAATAAATAGCTGAAGGTATGTACTTAGTTTTTGCTTGTTGTTGCAGTTGCGCACAACATAGGTATGAGGTTTCATTTCATCAAGTGAGGTGCCGCAAATTTTTGAGACTGAGTGAGAAATAATGATTGATATTTGAACCATATATACGAATAAGTGTGTGTGTGTTAGTCTTCGAGCCCACATCCCGAATGTCGACTCTATGCCTGTGACCGCCAAGCAGGGTTTTGAACACTGAACATAAACGCTGAGAGTTACAGACGCATGTTAATTCTGAGTACACTAGCTGCAGGAAGCAAACGTTAATCAAAGCAGTTATGCCACTACCACCATATGTGCACATTTGGTCAGCGTCACTGGGCTAGCAAGGCTACTGAAGCCTAATTTTATGTACTCTTTTAATTGTTTTTGAGACAGACTATAGCAGTGAGCACATCTGCAGCTGGACATAGCAGCCATCTGACTGTTTCTTTCTTCGTTAAAAAGTCGTAGGTTAAATTAGATAATGCTGAGAAACGTGCTTTCCTCTGCGAGTATTAGTAAAAATAGGACTCGTGAATAGAGTTAGTTTGTCAGTTCCGATTCTTACGTGAAACCCATTTAACTCGATATATGCTTGCTTCAGTAAATGCTACAATCAAAGTTATGTTAAAGTTTTATCTGGTCCGCTTTACAAAGAATTTTATAAGGCACAAACTGTTTTCATGCTTACGGGTCTCCTCAACGAATATATTTTATCACACGAATCATCGACATTTCAAATTATACCCGGCTAATTCTCAAGATACAATCCCATGGTTATCAAAGAATTCGAAAACAACTCCGTTATTGCTCAACATTGTGTCATCAAGAACCAGCGCAACCTGTGCTGTAAAGAACGATAAATTTAGCAAAATCAATGAGGCTCTGTTCGTCCAGGCCAACAGACGTATGAATAGGGACAATTGCATAGGCCTGAGCAATATCTGGACTCAGTTGTTAAAACGCTGTCAACTTAATCCATACGCAGCCAAAAATTATGTCTCTTATTATAAGCCAAACTTCAACTTAACGGTTTGATTTTGCAGACCTGTTTATTTACACTACTGCACATCGACATCGAGTCCAGTAAAGACTCGAAACGTCGATGATTCGTGAAGTAAGATATACATGCGAGCAGTCCCGTAAGAAAAATGAAGACCACGTTATTAACCACATGCATAAAAGAATAATGCTCAATATTTAAGGTACAGATTTATGAAATTACGCAAAAAATTCACGAGCTGGTCGTCTTTACGGTTTGCTTAACTTTAATATATGTATCACAAAATATGATTAGAATTCCACACTAAATTTAACCTGATACCTAAGAAAATGGAACATCACCTACTAACTGATTCATAGCAAGATACAAGCAAAATATATTATGTGCCCATAAGATGAGCAAATACATGTTAGAGGAAGACATATATTAATGTATATGCTAGAAACAGAATATGCGGAGTTCGAATTCAAGTTGTAATGTCCGGCGCAATATGACAATGTCTCAGCGTTCTTTCTAGTGCGTCCGAACGATCGGCAATACTGCAGATTTGACTGATGACGAATGCTTCTTGACTTCAGCTTCTTGTCTGCTACCTATGGAAATTTCGAGTGGGAAATTTCGGAATGTCGCCTCTGCTTGGCATGACGTTGTAATCTAAAACAAAACCGATACTTCGCATTTGCGATTACCATCTAAACCGATTACCATGATCTTCTTCTTGGCAAGTAGGGCCTAACCAACCATCAGCGCAGTGACACTGGCCGGTAAACAAATCACACCTGGCTCCATTGTAACAGGTACAGCGCTGTTCACAATTCAAGCCAAATCTTCCGGGACGGCATGCTACAACAAGCAAGTATGAATATTCCATGTCCACGATAAATTTTATATAGAAATAAAATAATAATACCGACTTCACGGAAGAACATAAAGAAATTATCTATACTAGGTCATTACTACTTGATTGGTTTTTCATCGATAGGATCATTAAAACGGTTAGTGCTACCGTAATCGTGGCAAAAGTTACTTTTAATCGTTACTTCTTCATGACATGGGACGCTTCAGAATCTCGCTATCTGAAGCCGTTACGAGTAGGAGGGTAATTTATAAACCTTTTTTGGGTAAATGCGATGGTACAAGCATAAGCTAATAATCCAATAATAATTATAAGATGAAAAACCTTTACGAGTGAAGAAATAAAGATTAGATTTGAAAAACAAGTCAAATTTAGCTCACGGACGCCTTTTAAACTTTAGAAACTTTATTCTTGTTCGCTATTTAAAAGACTGATTATTGGTCGTTACCGAATAGTACAGTGTAAGGACACTATCGTTGAAACTTCAGGAGACAATGTTTGCTTTATGAGTGAATCAGCTGCGTTACCTGCAGAAGCAAGATCATTAAGAATTTGGCAGAGGAGAATTTTCTAAATTTTTGGGTTTTTCATACTACGCTGAAAAAGTTCTGTTTCGACGTTACATTGGACGACTCTACGACTCTTTGATCCTGCATTAAACTTGCCCGCTACCCTGTCTGTGCTCTTAATGTAACTGGGTACGAAATCGATTTCATTCTTGATGAAATTTAGGTTTTCACATGTTCATTTTTTGCTGAGTTTTTCTGAAAAAAGTGTTCACGATAAAAAAGCATGTTCTTTTCAGCAAGTTCCGCTTATCGATCACCCCTATCGTCCTTTGGCCGTATCAAAATCAGTTTACTGACAACTTTTCTATACTGCAGTTTGACCTTGCGTTGTAACCAGCAACGAGAAAGTTTAAACGCCTTTTACCGCGTTCACGCAATTTTTTTATTCTTTCATAAAATCTTCAATCTCTTCATTAGGATGGCGTTGATCACCTGGTTTATATTTCATAGGACTCTCGGAAGCAGTCTTTCAGGTCTTTCCAAAGTGTTGCCCACTTTTCCAATATTGATTTTATACTTCTGTAGGTAACAGAATCTACTTTCATTGCTGTTCAATTTCCTATACTCTGCAGAACGAGATGTGCTTACCGTTATACTGTAACATCCCTCGTCTTTTCATCTAGCTTCGCTAAATACGACGATGCCTTACCTGATTTTCCAACTCTTGAAGTCTTGCTTTGTATTCTGCAATTGAGCGCCGAGAACATCAGTAATTTGCACAGCTTCGATGCGTAACCCTGGTATCCTTCACGCTCTCCATCTTCCTGCCTGACTAGTAGAGCCCTTCATCAAAGACAGTACAGCTTTCGGAAAATGACGACGTTGTTTCCGTTGTGATTTCATGTTGGAGGATTTGACCATAACTCACCATACCGAGCAGGTGGGTTGATGAATTTTGCCTTTTCCATTAGAAAGGTGATAATTCTCTAGCACTAGAGCACGGCTGAATCCATCAGGGCCTAGAGGCTTAACTGAACGTCGTCTTAAGAACCCTTTATTACCAGTAATTAGTTTGAGTCGGTGGCTGTGAGACCTAAGAGGGAGGTAAGAGTCCAATTTCTTATGAGTAATTAATGAAATAAATCGAATATTAATAAATTAGTTTCAGCTGCATTTACATCTTTTTGTTACTTTGATTATCGGTATAATGAGACGAGCAGTGAAACGTATCACATGTTGGAAGAATCCAGAACTTAAGCAGATATTCACCTTCCGCGCACCGTGGCCCGGTCAAGCCGAGGGGACAAAGGCATTTTCCAGTCAGTCTGTCACAAGTGAAATTGCCACAGTCGCATTGGAAACGGCAACCGGCGCCGTAGAACCCAACCTGGCACTCTGTGAAAAGAAAAGAAGTAAGCAAATCAAAACATTTGCAATCTCCGCGTTACCTGATTCACAGTAGGAGCCCATGAAACCAGGCGGACATAAACACTGACCAGAAGCAGCATCACACGTGGCGCTGTTCATGCATTTACAACTTTTCGAACAGTACCAGCCATATGTGCCTTCAGGACATTCTATAAGCAAAAAATGCAGGAAATGTTTCACCAGAAAAATATAAAGTTACTAAATTAATGCGAGCTCTATGAGGAGATTTCGACTTTTATTCAAAATTAAATCAGAACAGCGATATTAAATACTATTGAAAATTAAATAACCCGTTCATTGATGACATTTTAATGTCTCTTAACAATATTTATCTTTCTGTTAATGCGGCAATTGGGAGCAAATTGTTAAACCATCCGATGAACTACTGTTTATACCAAGAAACCACCAGTAATTTAAGTTGATGTATTTTTTAATTATATGCAGACTGTTTTCAGCAACGTTGTTATTGTATGTTGAGATCATAAGCTTGAGCCGTTTGCATAGTCAGAACCTCGATGCCCGTTGCATTCTCAACTGTTCAACACTTTTTCACAAGACACCGGTTACTGCACCGCAGAAGAAAACATTCCTTTCTGAAAGCAAGAAAGAAACCTTGTTCCCCCATGTTACATTCTGGCCTCATAGTCAACGTTTGTCGAGTTTCTGCTCCCACACAAGCATCTCATAGACTGGAGTAGATGTTTTATGCTCAACCAGTTTCTGTAACAATTTCAACCACCTGTTCTTAAATCCACATCTACCGAGGTTACCTGTCCACGGAAGAGAATAGTACTTTCTACGAGATCTTGTCATTTAACCTTCATAAAGTGTCTAAGCCATTCAGCTGTATACAGTTCTTCTTGCTCCTTCGTTTCAACAACTGTGCTATGTCGTGTAAGATCACCGCCCTGAAAAAGGGAAGGTGCAGTCGAATTTTGGTTAGAAAAAGTCGTTTCTCAGTCCAAATATTGGACAGGCTTCCAAAAGTACTCGAGGATAAGGTAATTCAACTCTACCAACAGTTCAATCGTTCCTCCACGCTTAACTAACTACAGAGGAATTCAATCCATCCCACAGGCGCAATCTTCACCCTGTTGTGTAGCAGTGCTTTTTAGATTTCTAGCTTTGTGGGTGGATCGTGCTAACCTTCAGTGTTGGCATAGAATCAGTGGTCGGAAATTACAAATCTGGAGGGCAGTTGATGAGCGCTGCTGGAAACGCTGACCCATCTTTTCAGTCATTCCTTTTGACTTGCAAATGGAACACTTCAGCGTCATGGATAATGACAAACTGAGTTATTTGATCACTGAACAACTGTTGAAATCCTTTGATCACTGTTTGTTACTCATTATTTCTGGCTGCCTAATAGATCTTTCTGATTTCCCCTCAAGCCATTGTTCCCAAAGATCATGCAACGAGTCGTTCGTAAATATTTTTTGCAGGGAGTTACAAGTAGTTTACTTTATTTCTGTCCAATATGCTGAATGGGCGGTACAAACCCTAAGAGTTCGAAATTTCTCATCATTCACAATGTTCGTTCATATTAACTTAGAGGCGCTGGACACGGGGTGCGCGTATCTGCCACAATTATGATGTTTCCCATATGCTGCAAAGCCAAAAGTTTCAACTTTCTGAAACCCTAACTTATCCAGGAAACCAATTTGGTATTTTTCCACTTTCCCCGCTGTGAATGTGATCCTTCTGGTAGTTTCATGAACTGCCATGAATTTTTAAATATCTGCGGAATGAGTATTCAAGGAATAAACTTATTTTGAATACCATGAAAGTTACCTAAAATTCGTAGATGACGATTTTTATCGAATGTATGTATTTTGGTGGTCTATATATAGATCCAAAGAGTCCCATTTGCTGGAAAGCCCAGGGGGAGATCATGCAATTCCTGTCGTAAATCTAACTATTAGAACAAAAGTAAGTTTTCAAGAATTATTCAAAATTCTAAAAGCAGATCAAGTACAGTACAGAATCTTTGTTGAGAAGGCTTGGTATTTCTTTCATTCCATCTGAACATTGTCAAATATACAATGGAAGACCCCATGTAGTAGGCATCAAGTATCAGCTTTGCTGACGTGTGTGTATCGAACCAAAA